TTCCTTCCCTCTGTTCTTGTTCTTCTTCCTTCCTTCCTTATTCCTTCACTCTCTCTCCCTCCCTCCCTCCCTTCCTTCCCTCTGTTCTTGTTCTTCTTCCTTCTTCCCTCATTTCTCTTTCTCCCTCCCTCCCTTCCTCTGTTCTTGTTCTGCTTCCTTCCTCCCTTCTTCCCCCATTCTCTCTCTCTCTCCCTCCCTTCCTCTGTTCTTGTTCCCCTCCCTCCCTCCCTCTTTCTTTCTTTCTTTCTTTCTTTTTTCTTCCTTCTTCCTTCCCCCATTCTCTCTCCCTCCCTCCCGTCCCTCTGTTCTTCTTCTCCTTCTTCCCTTCCTCCCTTCCTTCCACCCATCCAAAGTGCAACAGGCTCATTTACAGAAAGATTCACTTAGGAAACGTGTTGCTAACGATGAGTGCAGGGAATTCATTTAACATCGATGGCCAGAAAGGTTGCAGAATGGGGACGAAAGTCCCTTAACAAACGTTTCACTTAGCACCCCAAATGTTGGCCTCAGTTTGGATCGTAAGTCGAGGACTTGCAGCTGTGTTGGCCCAGAACGGGGAAAGAGACTAATGGACTGGGGCTTGTTGTTTTCGTCGGAGATGGATTTCGTTCCCCTGCCAAGGACGAGAAAAACAAAAGGCAGCCAAATCCCAGGTCCCATCAGGCTGGGAAATGGCTCCGGAAAAAGCACTTAGCAACCGAAGGCCTCTTCCCTCCATCACTTTCCTCCCTCAATTAACTCAGGAGGCACCTGTCCTTTTCCCCTCTTTCGGATCTCGCTCTCCGGAGAGAATTAGAGTTGGCTTTTTCAGAGGAGGCTTTGTGCCAGGAAGGGGGAGAGGCGGAGAGGCTGTGGGGTGGATTTGGGGGGAGCGTGAGGGTCGATCCAGGGATCGGGGTTTGGAGTCACTTTGGTGGCTGGGATGGGTTTGGCCAGCGTGAATTGCTTGGGGGTACATGGAGAACCCCTTGTTTCGTGGCTGATTGATGTTACAAGGGCAGGGGAAAAAGACCTGTGACTTGTGGCCTTCCTTCCTCCCTGCTTCTGTTCTTCTTTCCTTTCCTTCTTCTCTATCTCCTTTCCTTTCCTTCTCTATCTCCTTCTTCTCTATCTCCTTTCCTTCTCTATCTCCTTTCCTTTCCACCTGCCTCTGTTCTCGTTCTTCTCCCTCTTTCCCTCCCTTCCTCCCTGCCTCTGTTCTGGTTTTTCTTCCTTCCTTCTTCCCTCCCTCTGTTTATTTTCTTCCTTCCTTCCTTCCTTCCTTCCTTCCTTCCTTCCTTCCTTCCTTCCTTCCTTCCTTC